AAGCTGTTACAATGTTTCTACCCCCTAAGCAGCAAGCAACATGGCAAATTTGTGATTGAATTCAAGAGCTTTCACCAAAATGGCAATATCTCAGAAACAATTGCATGAAAAACATTAGTGATATATGATTGACCAAATTTAGTTTAAATTTAGTTTAACCTATATATATATATATCATTAATTTTTTCAATGAGAATTTTTATTTGTGAAGCAGTGACACTTTGTTTTTCATGTCACTCATTACCTAAAGGGGCAATAATATCTCCAATAAGTTTATATAAAAACCAAAAAAATGCATTTACTAAATTAGTACATATCTATATTATAACCAATTTTCATCTATTGGGATATGAATTAGAAAATGATCAAAAATTATAAAATATACTGCTTTGCTTTTTTGGGCAAGATGTTTACAACATCAAATTTAGAACAGTGCTTGTACATCTTTCACGTTTTTAATTACTTCAAATATATTTAAAAGGACATATGGTACTAGAATTTATTTATTTTCAACATAAACCAAGGATGGGAAGGTGAGAGAATAGGAATTTTCTGAGGTGTTTTTAATAACACAGACAATGACAGCAGACATTTTGTGGTGACAAAACCAAAAGCTATTCCCTACTCTACTCAAAGCACTGAAAAACACCATAAAGAGAAAAACATTTTAAACACACATCAGGTAAGACTTTTATCTCAATTTTCTCATGTTTTTTTAAAAGCAACGGTTTTTAGCCAAAATTATTTTGCGCGCCAATGTAGGCTGCTATAAGATGTCAGACATGTGTTCTCTTTTGAAATCTGGCTCTAAAAAACAATCGCTTTTTTTAGTTTGAAATAAGCCTTCATAAGGGACCGTTCATTATTTATGGGAGGGGGGATGGGTGAGAAATTGGAGGGACCTGGGGGTTTTTCTGGGGGGGTCTTCAATTCTATCAAACAAAAATCTGAGGGGACTTGAAAGTATTTGTTGCTTTCAAAACTTGTGAATAATTTATGAGAAAAAGAAATTGTTACCCTTCTTGAGTAACATTTATTAACAAAAAAACATATATTATCTCTGTTCGTTGTTCTGTCTTACATTAGAGACTGCATGCTTTCCTCGGCATCTTTGCTCACACAACCTTTTTCAAGAAGTTGTTTTATAGGCTCAACATGAAATCTTGGTTTTAAGATTTCTGAATTAAAGTCGCTATAATTTAAAGAGTCTTTTGTTATAAATGTCTCAACGTTTTCCTGCATAAATGAAAAGCTGCTTGGAGGATCAGTTTGAATAACTGAAAGTAACTTAACAGTATTCTTCTCTAGGTTCCTTAAGGTTCCTGTATTATTAAGCAGCAGTAATTAATTATCTCTTGCAAAATATTAGGTCATCTAGCAATATTTATAGAATGCTTTTACTGTAGAATTGTATCCATTTCCGTCATGTGAGCTGTATATGCTACAGCTAGTAGGTGTTTGTTTGATAACTGGTGAAAAAATGTATACAAGGCTCCTCTATGGTGGCCCAGGTGTGCCACGTACTTTTTTGTTTATGAAATCCAATTTTAACTTGATTTCAATTTTAATTTCAATTTAATTTCAATTCAATTCTAATTTCAATATAGTTTTAATTTAGTTTATTTTTATTATTTTTTTAGTTTATTTTTTTTTATTTATTTATTTTATTATTTATTATATAGTTTTAATTTAGTATTAATTTAATTCAGTTTAATTGTTTTTAAAAAAAAAAATAAAATGAATTGAAAATAATACGTGGCCCAGGCGTGCCATTCCGGGGGGGACGTAACTCCACTTAATGCATCCGCAAACCAGACAGATCGCGGTCCCTAATACTGAATTTAAATATGGCGGACTGGAAAAATGATCAAGAACTTAAAACTGATTTGCAGGATTATGTTCATCGAAATTTTCAACGCTTAGAAATACTGGACTTTGTTGAACAAAAATATACAATGTATCATTGGAGTTTAAGAACTCTATGCCGAATGATGAGTTATTTTGACATTAAGTATACAAATTACGAAGTTGACGTGGCTCAAGTTGAAGACGCAGTGAGAAAAGAGATGGATGGACCAGGTAGACTACTTGGATACCGAGCCATGCACAAGAAAGTGCGAGAAATACACAAATTAAACGTGTCTAGGAATCTAGTATACGACGTGATGACAGAAATTAATCCTGAAGGTCTGGAAGCAAGGGGAAACGTTGGAAAACCAAGAAGGCCTAAAAGAAACCATATCTTCATTGCAGAGGTAATGAAATTGTCAATTGTAACCCCCTACGCCCAACCTCGGGGAAAGGTGGGGGCATAGATTTTAATATATTGTTGCCCGGACCCCCTGAGGCAGGCTGACTTGACTAATCTTGTCAAATCCCCCAAACCGTGGAAGCAAAATTTTTAAATTTTATTGAACAAAGAGGATTTTTGTAATATGCTATTTTGTCACCATAGAGTGAAACAAACAGAATATAGAACTTTATAAAAAACAAAAAATAGCACTAACTTGGCTTGTAATATTTAGGTCAGGCACAGGCTCAACAGGACAATCCTAGCCTGCAAGCAGCTGTATATGATGGCCCCACATTATGCCCCACATACGGGGATTGGGGATCCAACATAATAGGAAAATCCCCCATTAGATCAGGCGTAACCAGTGGGCGTAACTAAGTGTCAAAAGAGGAAAAATGCCCCACATGTCCCCCACTTTTCCTCGAGGTTGGGGGGGGGGGGCAAGGTGGGGATTACAACTGACAAGTGCATAATTCATAAATCAAACTGTACCCAAGCATTTGACTATTGGAAGTTTAGTTGTACATACACTTGTAAAATTAGATAATATTGAATAGTTAAATGCTGATGTGTATGTTTCTTTTTGATAAGCATAAATATGTATGCTTGTCATAAGGATTTTCTTTTCCTTATTTACAGGGTCCTGACTTCACAATGTCCTTAGATGGGCATGACAAATTATGTGGATTCCAAAAATCAATGTTCCCCCTGTGCATTTATGGGGGACAAGACACATTCAGTGGAAGAATAAACTTTCTTCGAATATGGACGACAAACAACAAACCGGAGGTCATAGGCAGATTCTACTTTGACTATCTTTCAGAAAGCCACAGTAAGTTAATTTTGATTTCCAAAGTAGATGCTAATGGTACTGTAAATCCAGGTCATTTGGGTTACTTTTCAGGCAAATAGTCACACAAGCAAGTTAAAATTGTAAAATCATGTCAGCCTCACCTTGGGTAGCAAGGTTGGTGTGGCCCTAGCTCACCTTATTCCCCATGTTCCAAAAGTGCAGTACACCACATCTGAGGTTTAGGCTCACAATATGGCAAGCTACTATATTGTTGTAATAACTATAATACAATTTGTTTATACTTTTTTCTCCTTTAATTTTTATCTTTTCATTTTGTAATTGTTTAACCCCTGGGATTTCATTTTTAGCACTGCCCCAAAGAATTCGAGTGGACAAAGGAACAGAAACAGTTATGATGACTACCATGCATTGCTATTTACAGCAAAAACTGAATAATACAGATGATGCAACTGAAACAGTTTTGTTTGGCCCTTCTACCCAGAATAAAATTGAAAGATGGTGGCGGGAATTGCTAGAACGACTGGAGAGATATTTTAAGGACCAATTAAATGAATTGTTGGAAGCAGGAGATTATGACCCATCTGATGAAACTGACAGGTATCGCATGTTGCCCAATATTACATGTGGAAACGTTTTGAAATATAGACTTAGCTTTTCAGAACAAATTACATTATTTACCTTTTCACTCCACTAGGTCAATGCTTGCATATGTATATATACCTTTGCTGCAAAAAGAGCTGGATATTTTTAAAAACACAGTCTGGAACAACCATAGAGGACGAAAGCAAAGAAACAAGCATCTGCCTGATGGAATTCCAGAACACATCTACCAGTTTCCTGAGCATTACGGAGGCACCAAGTGTGGAACACATCTAAGTGATGAAGATTTAGAAGAGGTTGCAGAGGTTTCAAGTATTCTTGAAGATACCAACGACTATTTAGAGCCCCAATTCCATGCAGAGTGTGAAAGGGTATTTCCTCAAGCAAAGGAGGTTCTTCCAAATGAAGCTTTACTTGCATTTCGCTTTCTCAAGCAGAATTTTGATAGAACAGTAATTGATCATGAATCAATATTCACTGAATAACTCTGAACAGCCAGATATGAACATATGTTTTATTCAATAAAATAATAGACAGTATAGTATGTATGCTTTATTGTTACTAATTTTGTTAAATTCAGATTACTAATAAAACCCATTAATTAAGGGTAATGCTGTACTGTTTGCATTTTATTACATGATGAGCTATTGTTTCCAATATTTTACAAAGTAGGGATGCACCAAATATCATATTCATGCACTGGATATCTGGCCCGTTAAGGTTCTGGCCTTCTTTTCAGGTTAAAAATGATGTAATATAGTTCAAGAAGTATGCATATTTATTATGTTTTTACTTGAATGAGTGTAGACAAGCCGGCAATTGCAATATTATCTGATTTTTCATGCTCACTTGCAACTGGACTGCTCACAAGACTTTTCCAACCATGCATATGAATCGATGTTGGATTGTGAAGTTTTTTCTCATCATTTCAAGTCAATATATTCTAAACAGTTAACACCATCACTAATAATTATAACCAATACAAATAACTATTGAAATTAACCTTGAATGATTTGGCCTGAACCTATAACAATATTATCCAGCAAGATAATCTGGCCAGACAGCTTTCAACTATCTGGCATATCCATGCACAGTATCTGGCCAGATAGTATAGTAGAAATGCTCTATCCGGTAATCTCCTATTATAAAGCATTTTTAATTTTAAATATTTGAAGTTCTGAGAATGTCTTCAGACTTTGCTTCTTAATAACACAAATATACACAATTATATGTGCAACATACTAAACAACTAACAGTCATGTACCTCACATGTTTTCACATTATTGTACATCTTCATGGCTTGTCCAAAGATAATAGTTCACAGTACTTGTTGCATTTGTGTTGTACAAAAAATGTTTCTATTGCATTGGTTGAAAGATTTCCAGCACAGAAATAGATGCCATCACTTTCATCATATAACTCGCTACTTGCTATTTCTGGGTCACAAAGCACAAATCCTACGCCTTGCAGATCCACAATTATAAGCTGCTTTCCTGATTTGACAAAAGAGTAATGGACAAACGATTCTGCCTTCATAGCAATTTCACTGCTATCTTTTAGAACAATGTCGCCAGTGTTATTCACATATTTTCTGAAACTTCCTTCAATGTAGGACTCTACTGTAACAAACTCACCCTTCATCTCTGCATAGTACAGCTTGGTATAGAGGAATGTATCGCCGAATTGAAGAGGAGCACCATCACGCAACAATAATGAAAAGTGCCTAGCAAGAGCATGCATCTGTACCACTTTTCTAGTGTGCGTATCAAGGGACTGAAAATGCTCTACAACCCGATCAGACCTATAACGTTTGACCACAAACTTTCCATCCAATCCCTTGAGACCAGTAGCTAAAAATGCATCACGGCAGGCACCACTTGCAAACTTATCAACGCTAATTGACAACACTACTTCCACTGGATCTTTCCAGCTTCTTCTCTCAACATCAAATGCTTCTAACTGTAAAGTGACAATGTCCTTTTTCGGTGGGATAAACTTCCCGATCTTAATGAGTTGACTGAGAGGGACAGACTGAGGGAATACAGAACGAGACGACGGTGCAATATTGGAACAACTAGGCACGGTTGACATATGATATTGGTAGTGACAGGTTATGTGCTTGAGTGTGGTCTTCCTTTTCTTTAGAACTTCTGCTCTTTCTCAGCTCGGGTTCTTTTTCCACAAACCGGATGTGAATAAGTTTCCAGTTCTTAATCTGATTCACATTTGTATAAGATGGTCCTCTCTCCCCCGCAAGAACGTCACATTGATATCCTTTATCAATCTCGAAATGGTCTTTGCATGCGTGTTTGATATTTTCCATTGTCTTATCTTCATGTGGAAACGGTACCATTGTCAATGGGCCAATTCTTGTATATTTTTGTGCCTTTCCTTCGACAGAGGCAGATAGTCGCTGTACTGTCAAATACTCAGTCTCGTCTTTTTCTTCCTTTTTTCCCATCCTTTTGCGGGACATTTTATTCTTAAACACATCCCACTGCTTCCACTTTGACATTTTCATTGGTTTAGATAATAGATATAGAATTATTTGAAAGTTTATAGAACTGAAATACTATTAAAGTATTTATATTTCTTGCACGAGTTGAAGACTGAAGTGTAACCATAGTTACTTGGTGACCGCGATCTGTCTGGTTTGCGGATGCATTAAGTGCAGTTACGTCCCCCCCGGAATGGCACGCCTGGGCCACGTATTATTTTCAATTCATTTTATTTTTTTTAAAAAAACAATTAAACTGAATTAAATTAATACTAAATTAAAACTATATAATAAATAATAAAATAAATAAATAAAAAAAAAAAATAAACTAAAAAAATAATAAAAATAAACTAAATTAAAACTATATTGAAATTAGAATTGAATTGAAATTAAATTGAAATTAAAATTGAAATCAAGTTAAAATTGGATTTCATAAACAAAAAAGTATGTGGCACACCTGGGCCACCATACTCCTCCCTTTATTGGATGCAATTGTCTGGGGACAAGAATACAATGCATTAGCATAAATTTAGTTAAAGCTGCTATTCTCCCCAATAAGGGACGGACCATTATGCTGGTCAGGCCCTTTTTAAGGATTTTCCCGTGGGGGAGGGATTTTTTGAAAAGGGACCTTTCTGTGAGATAATATATTAGGAGGATAGGAATGGCTGAAGGCCACAGAGTCTGGGGGCATATCCCCCCCCCCCATTTCCTGCATTCTGAGGATTAAAGGTGATCTACAGTCCGTATGTAAACAAAGCCTTTGTTTACATTTTTGTGTCCAAAACATAGTTAAACTGTTTGCACCATAAAAAGTGGGCTCATTTGTGCACATGCACAGATCAGACTGTAGATCACCTTTAAAATTTATGCTAAGTATACTTGTATTTGAAATAAAAGAAGGAAAAATGCACAAAAAATAAAAAAATTATTAACAATAGTTTATCATTACTTAGTGGTAGAAAAACGTAACAAAGCAAGAACAAAGGATTAAGCAAGAACAAAGGATAAAGCCTAAAACTTGTCTGTGACGTCATAGTCTCAACACATGCTTTTCGTGCAATATAAAAATATATACACGGCTATTCACAGCTATAGTTAAAAGTTAGTAAAACTCGATTATGCCTTCATCGCGCTGTGTTGTACAAGATTGCAGCAATACTTCTGACAAAAACACAAGCATATCATTGCATAAGAGCCCAAATGACGAATCATTGAGACTTGTTCAGACCATTTTTCAACGGATTGTTTTGAGCGTCTGTTTCATTTGGATGGTTTGCAACAACGACTCAAACCAAGTTCTGTGCCTACTATTTGGACGAAAGCACCTGCGCAACTAACAACAAGAGACCGGCGTAAGGTTAGTCAAATATGAATATATTTTAGCTACAAATTTACATAATCTGATAAGTCCAGATCCAATTATAAATTCACACGACGTGTGTTGTTCTCATATTATTGAAAATAGATTTTAAATGAGTTGGGCGAAACTCCAAACAAGACTGATACAAATAAGGATGAATCATCGAGCTGTAAAAAAACAAAAGACAACTGAAACGCTAGAAGAATGCACACATACTGTGAGAGTTTCCTATATTGTAATGTAGATAAGTGCTTACAAATAGTGCAAATTACCACGTTCTTTGGGTAAAAACTAATATGCTCCCTCTTTTATAGGACATACCAATGTCAATGGACATAGAACATACTGATAATTCACCCTTCAATACGAGTTTAGCAGAAGAACAGGTATACTTATTATTTCTAGAAAGCACACACTCATCTAGGGGGCTTATACTCCTGTATATAACAGGTATAATAAAATAATAAATACACAGTATTCTAGAACTCTATAATGAATTTTTTTGAATAAAATCGAATACTTTCCCGTACATAGGATCATTGCCTAACTTTTTGTGAGAGCTGTAAAGTTAAAGAAAGCGAGTTACTAGAACGCCAAGGAAAGTTGACAACATTGCAAGCAAAATTGTCTATAAACCAGTCGCAATGGATATGCACGATAAAATCAATAGAAAACCCAATAACCAATTGTGAGTAGATAGAGTACAACATATATTTACATATTACTATACAAAAACACGTGCATGTATGGAATAACATGTTTTGGTTAATTATATCTTGCGTTCAGGTGAAGAGCAAGGTGAAGCAGAACTTATAAATAAAATTGACACTTGGGTTCCTATAACTGATAACTTAGAGGAGGATAAGTCGGGTGTAAAAAGTGAAGGTTAGTACATGAGTACAGACAGAAAATTTACCTATCTTTGCATTCCTAAATATAAAACATACAGTATACGTAAAAAATCATAATTAATGTGTTGTTAATTATCGTTATTTAGATAAGATTGTTGAGGAACTCATGGAGGACATGGAAGCATATACAACTGATCCTAACGAAAATGAAAACGATTCTGATGCTGGTGATCCCATTATGGAAGCCTGATCAACTGAGAAAAGAATACAAGAAAATTGCTGATGATGATGATCTAACTTGTAAACAGTATGTTTGTGAAAGTCAGTGATTGCAGATCCAGCAAATAATTTAGGTTTTTACCATTTTGTTTATTATTTTTTGCTAGGATTTATAAAGGAAAGAACAAAAGAGATGAGCCCAAAGGCATTGTTTTCCTATCCCAGTTAATGATGCTTTTTCAACACTGTCATTATTGTTTTAAGTCTAACCCCCAGGTGAAAACCAACCGTTGTGGAACCATGTTGATTGTTGATACCTGGTGCAATAACTGCGAAGAACATTTTAGAAAAGCCAAAGCTATCTTTTTGGAAAGTTCCCAGCTGGAAATACTCTTCTCAGTTTCGCTATTTTGTCTGCAGGTGGTTCTGTCAGCAAGATAAGGAGGGAAGTTAACCAACTACAAGCTCCAATCTATATCCAATGCCAAGGTTCACATTTATTCATGAGATGATCCTCTTTGTAGGTGCTCAGAGTTTTCAAGAACATGGGGATCTTAGGGTACAATGAGGTAACATATTACTACCACCAAAGGCATTTTCTCTTTCCTTCCATTGTTCTATATTGGCAGTCCTACCAGAAAAAGATATTGGAATCTCAGAAAGGAAAAGAAGTTGTTTTAGCTGGAGATGGACAACATGACAGCATGGGGCATTCGGCAAAGTATGGAAAGAAAATTTGCAAAAAACTTAAAAAAAAAAAATTTTGAAAAAATAATTGAAAAAATTTTCGCGGTAAATCACCTATTATCTCCCATTTGACCCCCTAAACCCATTAAACTGCTTCCTATCCTATTGTAGAAAACAAAAGCAACAGTGTATTAAAAAAGTTCGCCTAAAGTCACTTATTTGGACCGCATTAAATGTAAGTTTGTAATAAATTTTCATAAATATATGCTTTTAACTAACCCTAGTCGCTAATGGAATGGTTTTTTATTACAAAACGAACTTAAAAGGTCATGAATTATGCATATCCAATTTCATGTAATTTGATATTAAAAATTGCACCTCTGACCTCTTAAAAAAACTGGATGAAATTTGAAAAGAAAAAAAAAAAAATTAAAAAAAATTTTAAAAAATCTTTAAAAATCCTAAAATATCTTCTTTCTTCTTTAGATGGCAGATTTCGTCTTTCAAGAAGAAAATCCGCGTTTTCTTCAGAGAAATGTCGAAGAGGAAGATGTCGATATAGATCATCTTGCCATAAACTTACCTGTTGATGACGAGCGAACAGAAGAAGTTCTAAAGTCATTCATAGGCAACGCAGTCAACCTTGGAACACGAAAAGGCCAAACATGGCATCGAGAAACTTGGAACTTCCTGATCCTCGCTTGGAACCCGTGTATTATTCTCACTATGCTGTGTAATGTTGTCCGCCGCCAGTTATGTGATTACTTCTCTCACCATGGCCATGTTGTCCTGCCTGCTGGAGATGATGCAAGTCACATTATAATCGGCCATACCAAACCCATACCCACTCCCACGTTCATCGCCGGCCTCCGACACGCAGGTGTCGGTTTCATACGAATTATAAACTTTGGGATGAAACAACCACTTAACCAGCTACCTCCCTTACCCAGAGACCTTCTCCTTTGCGCAGCAACAAACAGCGGATATCCCGAGAACGAGTACGACATTTCTGTTTCCCACAGAGACCCATTCTTATACCTTTTAAAGTCCTTTGCTCCTTACCCTCCAGGCGTCACCGTCCACCAATACCCCATCCTGACACCCCTGTCGCCTCTTTCCTCTCCCGTAACCACCCGCCAAGGTTCAGCCCTTTTCAACACCCTAAATTCCATTATGAATGTTCTATCCGTTAATCATCATCACCTAGTCGGTGGCATCCGTCTCGAAGTAAGAGTTCGAATGAACCACGTTTCTGATGCTGTGGACCACGTGCTGGAAAGGCAGTAGTTCAACCCCCACCAATTCGGCGTCAATTGCCACTACAACAAGGTCCCAGTGCGAAGATATATCCAATACGCAGAAGGATTGTTCCGAACGGCAAGAGCATTATTTTGCTGTACAATTGGACTCATCATTCATCTGGTGGTCATCCAGGTAAATACACACAGTACCCACTGCACAAATAATTTTAGTCCAAACGGTATGATCACATTTAGCTTTTTATTCTGCTTCAGGCAAACCAAGCAGGAAGTAGCTCAGCAATGGAGACTCTTGGTCACCAAAAAGCAATAAAGTTTCTGCTTACCACCAGCATAATTATAACGACGTTTGTATCAGACCGACATGCAACAATACGTATTGTAAAATACTATTTATATCAGGTTTCACTTTTCAGACCTTGTTTATTTACACCTATAATTTTACTTTTTAATTTATAGCCTTGTGCTTTACTCTTGGTTCTAGATTATTTATAAGTCATTGATATATTATATTTGTTTGTACCTTGTTATATAACCTTGTCTTCCTCAAACCCTGTGTAAGCTCACTGGTCAGTGTTCGGGAATGTTGATCATATTTTATTGTAACAACATGGTAATGGGAGATGCCTTGAACTCCCCATAAAGTCCCATACCAAACGCATGAGCTGTCTGTAGGAAACTGCACGATAGAACCTATAAAATATATAATATTAGATAAATTTGCGTGCACAATATGTTAATGCTTGTTTAATATGGTTGACCGTTTACAATAATCAATGTCTTACTCTTGTCTTTTGACCCTCTCTGAAGACCGAAGCGTAATTTTGATGCCCTTTGGTTTTTAAACCTAACGAAGCTGCATTCAGAACAAATTCACTTAAGCAAACTTCGTTAAATCCGGGGGGATCAAGAATACACTTTCTGTTACTTTCATCTTCTTCATATTCGTACACTTTATGTTGACATTGGTCTATTTCCATACAACATCGGCATTCTTCAGGGTTAGCAGCAAATTCAAGCGTACAATGACCACATTCACACCTTATGAAGAAATGCAAAATAGATATTCAAAGATACGTTTTAATTCTTTATTCCGGCAAATAAGAACACAAACTTACCAAGATGATACGTCAACGTGGCCTTCAAAACGATCTTGTAGCATATTTGCGAGCCGTTCTTCTTCTGCTGCAGCTTCCTCGTATTCGGCTACCTCCTCATGCGAGGCAAGCGGTTCAATAGTATCATCAAATGGCAAAAATTCATTGTCAGATTCGCCTGAATTCGCTGTCATGAAAACAGTTGAGTTGACGGAAGAATCTGTATCAGACAAAGACTCTGAAACGTTGCTAGATCGCGACGAAATTAACATTTTTAGCTCTTGAATATCTGCGATGCTCTGCCTTTGCAATACTATTAAATTCTACTTTTGCACTTGCTGTGTGTTGAGACTATGATGTCACAAGCCTCTCGCAAAAACATAAAATCAAGATGGCGGATTTTAATGGTGGACAGTGATTTTGGACATTTCAAATGCTCATAGCTCCGCGCTTGTTAATTATGTTTGCCTGAAATTTTACACAAGCGTTTTTGGTACAGTAATAAAGTCGTTACTAGCAAAAAGCGGAATTTTCTTGATGATGAATTTTCATCACAGCAGCACTTTAAACCTTAGTTGATGTTGTCTAATCTCATTAGCTTGGAAACTATTTTTCTCTATGTGTGCAAACAATTTATTTGCTCGTTTTTTTCCTTTGCAAACACATTAAGAATTTTCCATCCCCCCTCCAAAAAAATAATGGTCCGTCCCTAATGTTTTTGATAGATCCTGTTCTCAACTTGAACAATTTGGAATAAAATCAGATGAAATTAAATGCATGAGCAACAGACATAATTAATCAAACAACAGAGGACTGGAAAAACAGTATGTCATTGCTGCTGAGGATCTGGAGCTCTCGCATCTTGAATAAAAGCTCAAAGAAGTTCAACAAAAATAGGAAGATTTGAAATCCCTTTTTGCAAAGAAATGTGAAACGTGAAGAAGTGACCTCGATAAAATCCAGGACAAAATACCCTAGCATCTTGTGCAGAATTACTTGCAAATAAGAATGACCAGAGACAGAAACAGAGAGTTAAAAGAAAAGCCCAAGAACTCTTTGAAGAAAGCCGGGTAAAGAGAAGAGCACTTTCCAACCAGGCAAGACCATGTCTACTTGACAGTGAAGATGAAGAATTTTTAGCAAAATCAATGGAGGACAAAAGCAACATACCATGGCAGAAGGAAAGACACTGTAATGATATACAAACCGCAGAGCAAAATCGAGAGACTGCTTTAACATTGTTAATTATAGTTTGAAAAGAAGAGGGAAAAAGCTTGTAAAGTCTTATACTACTGTGTACAACAGAAGTAGACTAAAAAATAAGAGGTCGATTCAGGCTAAAAAAAACACAAAGGAAAAGGGCTATTCTGATTTAAAAAGCCACCAAAAGCAGAAGACAAAGAAAATACTAAGTATCAACGAGGTCATGTTAAAACATAAATATGCCTTATTTGCAAAGAATCATTTTAAGGAAGCGGCTGATGATGATCAGACAAATGAAACTAGAATACAATACTTCACTGATTCAAATGAAGAGTATGCTGCAGATGACTAATTGGTCATAAGAATTATATTAGACCAGGCATGTTTGTTTATCCAAAACACGAAATGAGAGAATCATTACCCTTACTGATGCAGAAAAAGCGAAAAAGCTACCGAAATATGACTGGTCTACTTGGTCTACACAACCCCAGCTGCACACAGAATATTCACAAAAGAAGCCCAAATGGAAAAAGAAGAAACAGTGCTGACTAACAAGGAAGACAATCACTTTGTCATCATAAGACCAAAAGCTTTTGTTCCAAGTACTGGTTCTGTGTGGGCCAGTGAACCAGTTCCAGATGAGTCAAATTAAGCACACTATTTGCCGGTTTGGGGAAAACCCCGCTAACAGACCTACAATGCAAACCAAGAGCTGTTGATGACCACCAGCCTCATGTCCAGATTGCTCTTTTATATAAGGAAGGAAGTCTTGACATGGGCAACAGTGAAGCTATTGAGGATCTTGCAAGAAACTATGCTGTTGAAGAAGATCTTGTGAAGAAACCCATAGAACACCGTGTTGACACTGAAAAAGAGAACACGTCCGTAGGAACCAACATAAATTAAACCAACAAGAAAAGCGTGAGAAACCATATCATAAATAGTGAATGGCAAAAATTGTCATCGATGGGGACTTATCAATGGGTACTGACAGTATCAGAGTTAGAAAAATACCTCGAGCAAAAGAATCTTACAAAAACAGGCAAGACAGATAAAGTGAAGCGCATCATCAGTCACATTTCTCGAAGTGTACAAACGTTGGTTGCTGCAAGACAAAGACCAGTTGCAAATGCTGACAATAGGGAGTTTACAGTCGAAATTGTGCCCAAATTTGTGTAAACAGTTTGTGTAAAAAGATAACTTTAACTCGTTAAGTTGCAGACTGTTGCAACATTGGCACTCCTCAAGTTGTAAGGAAAATGGCGAATTTTAGTTACTGTCAACAGCTTTTACAAAAATACCTATATCTCAAGATCAATGTTATAAAAAACCTTGAAATTTGGCAGTGGGTTAAAATGATTAATCAATTTTATTTTAAATGAGCTCCCACACTTAAATATATCATTAGGTTTTTGGGTGAGAATTCTTGGCTTGTGCAAATTTAAGTCCCTGACATTTTGTTTCTTCATGATACCCAACATCTGAAGGGCAACAATTCCATAACCCAACATAAATGGCCAAATATTTTTTTATTCCTGGATTGCATGGTAAACATTTATATTTAAATTAGTTTTCATCTTGTAGGGTATAAATTACAAAATAATCAAACGCTATAAAAATTTGCTTGGGCATAGCTCAGGCACGCTCAGGACATCTAGTTTACAAATATAGAGAACTTGAACTTCAGAACTTGTTGTGCCAAAAACAAAGACAAAGAAAATACTAAGTATCAATGAGGTCATGTTAAAAACATTAAATATGCCTTATTTGCAAAGAATCGTTTTAAGGAAGTGGCTGATGATGATCAAACAAATGAAACTAGAATACAATACTTCACTGATTCAAATGAAAAGTATGCTGCAGATGACATTGTACCTCTTCGAAATTTTTAAATACCTCAAATATGTTTGGAAAAACACAAAGTACAAAAATTACTAATTAAAATATAAACAAAGGATGAAAAAGGTGAGAAAATTTTTTAATATTTGAGGTGTTTTTAATTCAGACCTTGACAGCCGGCATTTTCAAATGCAGCATGTGGTTACAAAACAAAAGGCTTTTTATTTCGCTATTAAGAGCACTGAAAATTGTCAAAAAGAGATAAACACTTTTGAATATTCATCAGGTAATAATTTTAACTGAAATTCCTTTTGTTTCTGTGACTAAAACGTTGTGTGCGCGCCAATGTAGGTTGCTGTAAAATGTCAGACAGGCGGTTTCTTTTGAAATCTGACTCTAGTTTGAAATAAGTCCTTTTCCAGGACCAATTGTACAAAAATATAATATGTATGCTCAAATAAAATGAATAATCTAATATTTAGGCATTTTAGATTGCTATAAAAGAGTGAAATAAAGTATTTCATCTTTGGTTGTTTGTCAGACGAGAGTAAACACATTGGTGACACTTTGTTATGCATGCAGTTTTCAAAAGATAAACTGCTAAAAATATAGCTTTTATTTCACCAAATAGCAAAGTATCTTGCAGATATTATTAAAAGAGCTCAAGCGAAGTAATTCCATGATAAATAAGTGAACAATGAGACCAAAAAAGCGACTAAATTACAATTTTGGAAAGTACATTAATTTAATGGCTTCCCGCAAAAGAAGCCATTTCAGAGAAGAACGGCATTTTGTAAACCACTGTCCAGACCTATTTTAGAACTTTTCCTTCAGGTAATCGATAGTACTTCTTAGAAATGAGCATGCATTAATTTTATGTGCTTTATTGATTTAAAAATTTTCTGGGATATATGAAGCAATAGAGTATTTTGGAAGCTTTTCAAATCCCTGTCATGAAGGTTCAGAATTCGCACGTGCCATGTAACAGCATAATTAATTCAATACACTGATTTTAAACCATATTATCTCTGAAATGAGAGCTCGTTTCGAGACAAAGTTTATAGAAACAGATACAGTATTCATTGTAGAATATTTTACTTAGTTTTAAAGCGGTTTTACTCGAAAATTTCTCTTGCCAAAAACCTGCTGTCTTCTGAAAGTACTTTGGCTAAAATAACAACTTTGGCTAAAATAACAACTTGAGCAAGAAGACCAACAGAGTAGGGTTATGAAAACAGTCGAAATCATGCCATAAAATGCACGGAAAGTTCTTCTAAAAACTTAGTTTTAAACTAGATTGAACTTGCTTTAATGCTATATCGAATTTCATGAAAACATGCCAGGTATTTTCATTCAAAAACACGCTCAAAAAAATCGTAACTACTCACTTGGATTTAGTGTTCATGTTTCTTGCGATTTCCCACTTCACTTTTCCATTAGATTGAAAGAAATTGCTGTTTTTCTGGCTGAAAATCTTGCAACTTGATTTGGACAAGAACTTGACTTGAAACATATGCACACTCCCTTATGTTTACAACATATTTTATATGTAAAACTCTTTAAAAACCTCTTCTTTTTCATCCTTAAAACTTGCTGCAAATTCCCATCTTGTGACACTTTGCGGTTGTCACAGGTTTTGTAAAAAATTAGAGTTTTAAAATAAAAAATCTTCGCAAACTTTTGATCAATTTTTTCGCACAATGTATTGTTTGAAAGCCTACTCGAATTTACCCTTAAGAATATCATATCAGCTCATTTGTATTCTGTGTTCATATTTCTTGTGATCTCATCTTTTTGGCTGAAAATCTTGCACATGATTGGAAAAACATGACCCAAAACGCGGCAGGTACAAAACGCAGGTTGCAGGTTGCAGGTTGGAATTTTGCAGGTTGGGAATTTTGCAGGTTGGAATTTTGCAGGTTGGGGATTTTGCAGGTTGGAATTTTGCAGGTTGCCAGGAACTTTGCAAGTTGTTAGTGCAAACGTAAAATTACACCACTTTTTTAGTATTCTAGTGTAACTTAGTTGTGCATTTATTGCAGTCTGACTCCTTCTCGGAGCTTTTGATATCAGCTAATCAGCCTACCCTGTTGCCATATGTTCCTAGCCTCTGCTCTAAGGCTAGTGGCCATCACCCCCGTAAAAACATTCAAAATGACCAGATTGGCTTGGACCTATTGTTGCGAGGTGCCAACATGACCTGGCGGCGTTTATACTAGAATGTTGTTAAAAGTTAACTAACTCTCGAGTAATGATACGGTAATTGGGGCCTTGAGTAGACTTTTCATAAGTGGGTGCAGAGAGACACTTCATTCAGGCATTTTCTGAACTGCCACCACGTCATGTAGGCTCCTCGCAACAATCGAAACATCCGTCCCTCTGAAGGTCCAAGCCAATCTGGTCATTCTGAGTATTTTCACAAGGGTGATGGCCACTCCTTAGAGCAGAAGCTAGGAACATTGTAGCAGGATAGACTGTTAGCAAAAGTGCCGGCAAGGAGTCAGACTGCAATAAGTAAACAATTAAATTATACTAGAATACTTTATAGTGGTGTAATTTTAAGTTTGCATCATCAACCTGCAAAATTCCTGGCAACCTGCAAAATTCCAACCTGCAAAATTCCCAACCTGCGAAATTCCAACCTGCAACCTGCAACCTGCGTTTTGTACCTGCCGCCCAAAACGTCAATACATTTGCTTTAATTTCGTGCCAAATTTTCGTTGTAGATCATTCAAAAACCTCTTCTTTTTTTGCTTTTAAAAGTTGCTGTAAAATCCTTCTTTGCAACAGTATCGCCATTGTTCATTATTTTTGAAAAACTACAATTTTAAACTTGACAAACTTTGCAAGTTTCTGATCGATTTGATTTTCTTGCATGATACACTGTTGAAAAGCTCAAATTGCATGTTATATTTTCGTGTTCGTTCCTAACCCCAACCCGATAAACATGTTAAGGTGTCATTTCAGGGCACATTGTCCCTTAGACTGAGTTCGCAGTTATAGAAATAGATGGAAATATGGGTAATAATTCCATTCCTCACTTTACAACCAATTTCTGAGAACACTGAATGTGCTATTGTTATCCCGCATAAAGAAAATAAATGTGATGAAGTGTCTGGAAGAATAGAAAACAAACTGCCGTTAATAAACCAGTATATTTGTTGATGTTGGGTTGTTTAAAAGTATAATTATAAGCAGCCCAGAATTAATTACAATCTTCATTTTACTGTTTTTATAAACAGGAAGGCGCTGTACGACTATGGAGGATGCGATCGCCCACGTCCTCAGATCACATGCCTTCACACCATAATTCTACGGCATCAACACCAAATATTACACGGTACCATTAGCAATTACATCGCAAAGGCAACAAGAATATTTGCCAGGGCAACGCTATAAGCAGCCCAGAATTAATTACCATCTTCATTTTACTGTTCTTAACAGGAAGGCGTGCCGTGCGACTATGGCATAGGTACTTAATAAGTCTTGTTCGC